TTGCGGAACAGATTTGCGAGAAGATCTTTGAAAGTACGGGCAATCGAAACTTTTGGAAGCAGCACAAGAATGGAGAAGTCTAAAGAAGTAACGCCGGAACTTTCTCAACTACCGTAATCCGCAACATTAATAAACGAAGACGGGACTCGCACATCTTCCCGACGAAAGATGGAGAACGATCACGAGAAGATTTCAAACCAATCTCTTTCGCTCATCAACACCCGTGTCAAATCTGTTATCCTCAGAAAAGCCTTTTCAAAAAAGTTGACAAGACATTTGATCAAGTAAAAATTAACCTGCCAAAATTATTGGCATAAAAGAAAAGCCATACCTTCTATCCGTAAGCTTTACTGAACTCTAACCTTTTTTATAAGTCTTGATCATTGCTATCAATCAATTTGCTAAGCGGACTTATCATAACAAACAACAAAATCTTTAGATCATTCTTTCCATCACTAATTTGAAAGTAGTCATAAGCCTCCTAAATCAACGCAAATCTTTGGATTTGTGGATGCGGTCGGTTGTCGTGTCGCAAGGACTAATTGTAAGTCTATTCAGTACGCACAAAACCCGCTTCGTTTGAATTTCATAACCCCTCTGTAATCAGTAGGGCTGTTGGTATACACTTGTTAGGGCGAATTTTTTTGGTTATCGTGATTTGTGGAAAAGTTGGAATTTTTGCTGTGCTGCTTCAGCATAAGGTGGATGGTCAGAAGGCCATAGATCAAGCTTCCTTACTTTTGACGTAGGAGATGTGCGAAAGATGTAATCCATAAGTAAATCCACAATCATCTTTAGCGGTCGCAGTCCCACAGGAAGACAAAGATACGATCATTGGAGAGCAGAAGTCAAGCGCGCAGATTTCTCAAGTTAAGAAGCACATGACTTACTTCTCATGCTTTGACCGGCGCTACCCGGCATATTTAACACTCTCCGAAGTAGGAACATATTGACTGCGATTAAGACGACTATCCTATGTGTGCAGCTTCAATGGAATGATCCATACCACACAACCATTTCAAAATGTTATGATTAACAAGAAGATGAACCAAGACATCAGTTTGGGTAGTCTTAGACATGAGAGAACATATTAGCAAAAACTTTTATTGATAAAAATATTAGAAATACGATGCAAAGTTGGCACAGTAAGTGAAGCGATGTCTATACTTTCGCGATGAATACAGTTAGACGGCAGAGTTGACAGGTTTTCTGCGTCTCTAACCCGTTCATACGCGCCGCATAGACATACTGTTAATTGTGCGTGAAAAAGAAGGCAAGAAAAAACACACATAGACAATTTCATAGACCCATGCCATAATAGTAAAATATATGCGACAACATAGAAATATCTTGGAACTTAGTAAAGACAAGATAAAGCTTATGCAAGTAATCAGTAACAATCGATAGTAGGCAAATCAGTGGCTGATGGAAAGTGAAATTGGAAGAATAGATCAGTAAGGGCTTAAAGCGCTAAGTAAAAGCAACATCGAGTCAATAGGATGGAATGTCGGTATGAGAATTAAAGCAGTTCAAATGAAATCATGTGACACATTTTATATGTCATTAAGGCGTGCATTAAGGTTAGTGAGCATAGAGTTTTTGGCAGTGTCTGCATCTCTGTGTCTAGCTTTGCAATAGTTGGACGCAAAGATCATAGTTCAAAATCATGTGCAATTATTAATGGAATGCATTATTAGATCAAAAAACGGCAAAAGCCGCGCCCACGACTAGGGTTATGAACGCCCTTTCGCGGTTTTGGAAGCAACTTAGCTGTCTCTGCGCTACTTAGCCGGTGTGCAACAGAACAAATGAATGAACAATCGACTATTTAAGTACTGTTACTTACCAGTAATACCATAGAAAATCCCTAATGCTGGACATTTATGGCATAATGTGGAATTTGTCGCGTTGCTTTTGAGCATAGCAAAGTGAGACGGCAATTATCGAGCAGCAGAGGACGATCAACGCTGCAAGCACCCAGAATCCGACCATTGGTACACAGATAGCTGGAGATGGAGGAGTAGGGGATGATGAGGAGTGCAGAGCTTCTGGCAGTTCAGCGGCTGAAATTTGATAGAACATTTGATTGGATAAACAGTGTTGTTAGAGACTGCATATTGGCCTGTGATGCTGTATTGTCTTCAGCGCGAACTGCGACGCACACCAGTCACCGCCTTTGGCACGTTTCTTTCATAAGCGATCGCGCCAATGACAAGTTTGTCATGCGTAGCGCGTTCACCACTGCGGACAATACGCACCTGCCTATACTATAGAAGACCAAACTATAGCTATAGCTAATCCATGCTAAGAAAACAAAATCATCTAACCGTTATCATCAAATATTTGGATAAACAGAGTGCTTTGTAGAAGAAGAGCGGGAGAGAATTCCATATTAGAGGCGTGGCGTTAGAGTGGCCAGGCCAACTCCCCTTTTACAGTCGATAATTTTTTTTCACATGATGGAAAAATTTGGAAAAGTTCTTATGTCAACTAATATTGAGCACTTCTTCTGAAATTGTAATCGAGCTTCTTCCTACTCTTTTCGCCAACGGTTACTCATACTAGCGGTGAATAGCAGCTAGTGCGTTGATCCAATTTATTCCAGCGTTAAGCAGAAACTTCACACTTAAAAAGCAAAGTACCCAGCTTTTGAGGCACAGAATAGCAGCTAAACAATTGATTTACTTGTTTAATGATAAATTTGTGAGTAGTCCGATAGGAATAATTTGTTCATCGTTGCAATGAAAAAGACAAAGGCAATAAATCTAATTTTCTAAAATTAGCAGACAAAAATGGCAGCAAAAGTGTAATCTGTCTTTACAATATAACAAGATTATAAGTTTGAAGTCACTAGAAATCCCAACTGTAGTCCAAAATACCAAGATACATTAACGACTTTTTTCCAGAAGTTCTTGTGATTTTAGAAACTGTTTAAGTCTTTTACACTCAAATTATTGAGCTGTTTTAATACCGTGGAAATATGGGTGGCATCGTGGTTCTTTGTCACTGTTTCATGCTTCGCCTTTGATAAACCCCCCGTATTATGCAAATATTGCAAGGATGGCCTTTACAGAAGTGCATTTTTCACATTAACAGCGATTGGTAAGAGTGATGCCAAAAGTGCGCAAATGTTTCTATTTTCATTTTTCTCAAAAATTCAAAATCTTACCAATGTCCTTGTCAATGATAGTCAATTCTGGTGATGTAATGTCTACATCAATAGCTTCAGCATCTCTACGTCGCATTTCTCGTCTCAATTGCACCACATCATTCTCGACAGCCTCTCCGGGTTGTGAAGGAATGTGACCAGCCCGTATCAGCGATACCGGAGTTGCTCGCACTATCTCTACTCCTGAAAATTGGACGATTTCACTGTGTTCATATGAATTTTCAACTCATCTATAGGCATACCTGAACCTTCTGTAACGCTATCTTCCAACGATGAAATAATGCTATCACTCATACCAGCATCTCGCATGAAACTTTGCAGGGATGCAGGTGTTGGGAATCCTGTGGCATTCAGAATTGTGGTAGTTGTTATTGGAGCTAAAA